GTTGTCGCTCTTGAACATGTTTTGGGCACCAAACTTGAGGATCGCACCGAGCTCCTCCTTGCTGAACTGCTGCTGATTCTTGGCAGCTGCCTTGGGTGCAAAGTTGGTCCCAGAAGTGTCCATCTGGTGAATGATTGCGTACTCGAGCACCATCTTGCGCTTGGCCCTCTCGAGCACATCCTCCTCCACGGTGTCCTTGGTGAGAAAACGGAAGACGCTGACGTGGAACTTGGAGTTGAGTCGATGAGCTCGCGCCATGGCCTGCAAGTCGTTCTGTGGATTCCAATCGCTGTCAAAGATGATGACGGTGTCGGCAGTCTCGAGATTGATTCCCAAACCACCTGCACGAGTCGAAAGCAGGAAGGCAAAGTCTGGCGAGCCCTCCGCGTTGAAGTGTTCAATGGCCTTCTTTCGGACCTCGGACGAGACTGTGCCGTCGAGCCTTTGGTGAATGTAACCGCGCAGCGACATGTAGTCGGAGAGGATGTCAAGCATGCGGACCATCTGACTGAAGATAAGGACGCGGTGTCCGTCCGCCTTGAGGCGAGCCAAAAGCTTGTCAAGAAGCACCATTTTACCGCTGTGCATCACCAGTCCCTTGAGCGTTTCTTCACGGCTATCCGAAATGATCTCGGTGCCATCGAACAGGTAAGGGTGGTTGGAAGCCTTCTTGAGCTCAATGGCGATGTTGAGCAGCGAGAATTGGGCGGTGGTGGCACCGCTGAGGACGGAGTAGTTGCGCGTGAGGATGGCCTTGTACATGCGCTGTTGCATGGCAGACATCTCCACACGGAGGATCTTTTCTGACTTGGTCGGGAGCTCCTTGACGACGTCTTTCTTAAGGCGCCTAAGCATGACGTTGTCGAGCTTTTCGTGAAGCTCCTTGATGACGGTCTGATCGACGTCGTTGATGTCAAAGTCGACGTCCAGATCGAATTGGTCGGGTCGGAGGAAGTGGAGCAGAGCGATCAACTCTTTGACGTTGTTCTGCAAGGGCGTACCAGTGATGAGCAGCTTGCCGGCAGCGTGGAAGCTGTTGAGTGCCTCGTACAGCTGTGCCTCCGAGTTCTTGAGTCGATGGGCTTCGTCGACCGCCAAGTACTGCCACTTGATCTGGCCAAGCTCAGCGCGGTCTTTGAGGATGAACTCGTAGGTGGTGACGAGGACGTTGAACTTCATCTTCTTGGGAGGGCCAAACTCGTACTCGCGGATCGTCTCTCGACTGGCACTGTTGCCTATGTAGGCGATGGCGTTGAGATCAGGGGCCCAGTGCTCGAGCTGGTTCATCCAGGCAGGGAGTGTTGAGAGGGGCACGACGACAAGGAATGGGCCGTACTGGTAGCAGGAGTGGAAGAGGTAGGAAAGGAACGATACAGTCTGAACCGTCTTGCCCAGACCCATCTCATCGGCAAGGATGCCGTTCTCATTCTTGCTCCAAAGGTAAGCCAGCCAGTTGAGGCCGGTCATCTGGAAGTCCTTTAGAGTGCCGGCGCTGATGTAGGCGGGCTGCTCGGTCATGCGCGTGTACTTAGGTCTGCCTTGAGAGAAGTTCTGAGAGCGCCAAGGGACGGTGGTGGATGCGGAGCGTTCGAGATAGGCGGTGATGGCAGTCTGTGCGATCTCCTTGATCTCCTCCTCAGCTTCCCATGTGCAGTCGGCATACGGGAGCCCCTTCCACTTGACGAGATAGGCGAGATGAGGATACGGGATCTCTTTGTTGGCCGGGTTGTCGCGCTGGTCAATGATGCGCTCAACGGTCTTGAAGCTCTCGATCAACTCTGCTTGCCTCTCCTTTTCGATCTGAAGTGCTTCAATGTCCTCGCGCGAAGCATTTGGGTCGGAGCGCAGGGCCTTTTCGCGCATGAAGACCGACTTGATGTAATTGTCGACACGTTTGAAGCCGCGATAGCGTTTGAGGAAGTCATAGGTCTCGTGAGTGTCGTGTAGATGCGAGTACCCCTTCCATTTGACGATGAAGCGCAAGTTTTGAGTGGGTACGTCTTCTTTGTCGTCAAGGCGGTCCTCGTGACGTTCGTGGCCGACGATGCCTTCGATGACATCTTCTTCATCCATGTCGCCGGCTTCAAGAGCCTGTCTCTGAGCTTGGACGTCTGCCTCATCCTCGAACGGATCGTCGTCACCAAAATCGGCGTAGTCGTCCGTGTAGTTGGGGATGCGTCTGCCATTTCTGCTCGAGACACGGGACGCTTCCAGGTCCGCTGACGAAAGGCGGGTAGCTGCGGAACGCTTTGCCTTGCGCTTATTCTTGGACTTGGCAGGACCGAACTCGCCATCTTCAGCATCATCGCTCTTTTCTTCGTCATCATCACCATCATCATCGTCGTCTTCGTCGTCGTCGCTGGCCTGGACGGAGCTGCGGACCGAGCCACGACCACCTTTGACGAGATGGCGACGGCGAGAAGATACCGAGGCATCTGCATCGTCCGATCCAGCATCATCATCATTGAGATCAGTGTAGGACTTTCTGCTGGCACGTCCGGATCTTCTGAGCCCGTAGAGATCTGGGTCACTTTCGGCTTCCAGAAGATGCTTGCGGTCTGGCTTGGCTGACGAACGGGATGGCGTGCTGTTCCTGGACGAGGTTGGGGAAGTCGCTTTGACGCGATCGAGCTGCTGATGATTAGGCTTCCTGTCATGCTCGTCATCGTCCTCAACCCCATCCTCATCACCTTGCTCTTCTTTCTTTGCACGGGCACCATCCCCCTTGTGAGAAACATCGGACAACGGAGAAGAATCGCGTCGTGCACGACCGAGCTTTGACGGCTCCGAATCTTCAGACTTGGTGGGAGCAGATGGTGAGCTGGAACCGTTCTCTGCTTTGAGCGCAGAGACACTTTCGCGCGATGGAGACGAAGCCGAGTGAGCCTCGCGCTTCACGTTCTCTGCTGGTGCTGTCAAGATATAAAAGGGGAGGGAGCAGATCATAGTCAGCTTTTTGAAGCCGGAATTCAGGTGGTCTGCATGCGCAGCATAATCAAGGAGTCCAAGTGCATTGCCTTTGAAGGACATATACTGAGGAAGCTAGGATGTTGACGAAGATGTGACTATACTTACCCGACATGACGGAGTCGCAGGGTGTGGGATAGTCAGTGAAGAAGCTATGTGCTGCGGTCAATGTGATGCCACTAGATGTTGCGTCAGGGGGAGCAAGTATGAATGCTGAGGTGTGACAAGGGTAGTGGTAGGATGTGTGCAAAAGTCAAGGATGAGTGCTGGAGGACAACAGCGAGGCTGAGATTGCGTGGTTGCTTGCTTTTGGTTATGCGATAATGTGATGGTGTTAGTTTGGATTCTTGCTGTGTCAAAGGAGCGCGTGCTGAAAGGGCATGGTGAAGGAGATGGTGCGGACGCGGAAAGTTATGATGACGACAATGGTGACGGTGAACAAATGATCGGGAAACGATGGGATGATCACGTCGACTCAGCCTTGTAGATAGGCAGCCGGATGTACCGACAATGCTGTTAACGATGGCGAGCAATAGAGGTGGAGATGGTGACTGCGATGCTCGGAAACTAGCCGAAGTGACCGAGGCCAAGTGTGATCTACGTGGAAACGATCGGAAGAGCCAAGTCAAGTGAACCGTGCGTGCTTGAACAGCAGAGTTGAGGGACAAGCAAGGGTCCCGAAATGGCCAGGAAAGGTACAGGTGATGATGGAGAAGGTCGAACCTCTGGTAACGTGGGTGCCAAGATCAAGATGGTGACAAGAGGAAGCTTGCAGCGCTGGTGCAAATTAGCCAAACGGTGAGTGCGGCACCGTGATTTCCAATTGCACCTGTTTTAGCGCGCCGAAAAAGGCAAACTGAGACGACAGAGAGGTTGCGGTCGCGATCAGACGTCTCGAACTGACCGGTGCGGACGACGACGGGTGTCCTTTTTCGTGTCCTTTTTCTGCCTCTCTGCCTCTCTGCGTCTTTTTTTCTCTCTCTCTCTCTCTTCCTCTTTGACCTCACCTTGAAATTGCGTGGAATTCTACTCGCCTAGTCGCGCTTGGTACACTTTCGTGTCTCTGAGCTTTGTGCGCTTTGTGCGTGTCTTTGTCAATTTTCTGGAGGTGGCCTACCGTAAGTAGGTAGTTTGATTTCGCCAGAGGGAAGAAAAAGTCTAAAACTGAGAGCGTGGGCAACGTCTACCGCAAGAGCAAGCCCTCAGCCCTGTTTATGAGGGTCTACATTTTCGGCTGGTATTCAGAGTTGAGCCGTGGAATATATTATATTTTCTCTGTCGTCTTAGCTTCTCTCTCCCCGATGTACAGTATTGGGTTCGGCTCACGCCGAGATGGCTCTGAGCGTCAAATGGTGATCACAACTGTCAAGCGTGACTGTTTGTGTGACCAATCGCAGTCTGGCCGTCAGCCGAGACCCGCAAATGTGATTTTCTCAATGGCTACTAAACGTAAAAGAGCGTCCACATATCCCTCTCTTCCTCGCTTTTTGGCTAAGCAGGACCATGCCTATGAGAGCCATTCGATTGATTCGGATCAGGTTAATATAACAAGGTCAACAGGAGGTGTGTCAAACTTGAGTACTGCTGATTAGCGAGAAAAGTCGTCTCTTGACACGCTCTGTGTGCACGCATGGCAACGCGATCGGAGGTCAATCTAATTCGACAATGAACGTTCGTCGCCGACCAAAGCCTTTGGTATTTAAGCTGAAATGGGTTCCGACATCATACCGCAGTACAGGTGTCAGTAGCGTGCAAAGCAAGCGTCTGCGATCTCGATAGAAGTATCGCGTGCCCAGCCAGGCATATTGCGTTCGATGGTGATGACCAACTATGGCAAAGCAGACGTGTGAGGCCATCCTCGAAGGCATGTCACACAGCCAGCAAGCCGCCTAAAGGCGTCCGACAACGACGCTGAGTCAAAAGATCTCTAGAAAATTGTGATCACAGCGTTCACCATGATTCGGATATAACCTGTAACCAACTAACTTAAAGCAGCCGTCCTTACTTCAAATAAAAGCGTTACAACAAAAACGTGATTTCTGCCGGGTTCGAACCGGCGACCTCCTCCGCAAATCTTAACATTCCCTGTCTTAAATGTTAAGGAGACGCGCTAACCAACTGCGCCAAGAAACCTTTGGAAAGAATGTGTTAGTAAGTATATATGTAATCAATTTTTTTATCTGTGCCCTGAGAAGTGGAGGCTCTGACGTCCCAACGCGTGACAGCCGCCGCTGGACACCGCGTAAATGACCTGACGTCCGTCAAAATGGCAAGCGGCAACTCCGAGACGCTGAGCAATCGTTGCCCAAACCTTTTATTGCACTCTGCAGAGTACAGTAGTACAGTAAATTTACACTGTGTGAAGGCTCTTGACTGGCGAGCACGATCGCTTTACACCTCTTCTGCAATCTCACATTGTCACCATCTTCTTCGTCACGCTTCTGCCACTTTGCACGAATCGATTAAGTCGTCCATCAACTTGAATCCTACAATCTCTGCAGCGCTGCATCCGAGGAAGCCAGCCTCATATGCTCGCCTGGCGCCCCTCTCTCTTCAGAGTACGCCCTTCCCTCCATCGTCTCGGAACAACACAACAGCAATGCAGGCCAGTGTCGCTGCTCTCATGGATGATGTCACTGACCCGTCCGATTGGAAAAAGGACTTCGCCATCCTAAGAAACCTCGACGCATCCCTCCGCTGTGATCTCTGCTTTGTAAGTACTTCCGTTCGCCCAATCTTTCCACAAGGTTGCCACGATTCGCTGATCCTCTTACCTTGATTCTCGATACGACTAACGTCTTGCAGGACGTCTACACATCACCTGTCTCGATAAAGAGCTGTAACCATACCTTCTGCTCCACCTGCATTCGCACCCACATCAACCAATCTGGCAATAGCGGCAGTTTTTGTCCAAAATGCAGGCAGACAAAGGCCTACGACTCCGAACTAATACCCCAGCCAGTCCTCGAGGTCACTGCGGTTGAATGGAAAAGCGCTCGTTCTTTTCTTGCTCTCCTCCAGAACCAGCACCGGCAGCACCACGCGCGTCAATCGACATCGCTAGCCGCCGACCCTAGCAACATTGCAGGTCCCTCAATCGCCAAGCGGCCACAGACTGAACTCAACGGCATACAGGCCTCAGAGGGTCCTTCCAGGGCCTCCAGTCCACGCAGATCAAAACGTATCAAAATAGATGTCCGCAGCTCGACACTCAAGCCAACAGCAGGCTCCCAATCCTCCCCTCTTATGATTGACGATGACGACGAAGACTTGATCAATGCCACAGACGATGAACGCGATGCTGCCGTTCCCAGTCGTGCCAGGCGTGCTTGCGATGACGGTGACAGCGATGGCGACTATGTAGAAGGTGCATGCCTTAATCATGGCGTGAAAGACGCATCCTCGAACGCATCAGATCGAGAGCTCAAGGCAGATGATCTCGTAGAGTGCCCTATCTGCAGCCACACGTTTACCGTCAACGCGCTGAATCGTCACCTTGACAGTGCCCGCTGCTACGCTGGCTTCCCAAGGCCATCTGCCGAGGATCGAGGGTTGGCTCCGAAGCCCACAAAGACCACTTCCTCGTGGTTCACCAGAGGTTCTACTTCTTTAACGTCCGCAAACGATGGAGGTGCCATCATGGCAAACGAGAAAAAGCTTGTCAGGCCACAATATAATCTAAAATCCGACCGCGATATCCGCAAGCTTCTGGACGATGCAGGTCTACCCACTTCTGGCGATCGCGAAAAGATGGTGGAGAGGCATCGACAGTGGGTCAACCTCTGGAATTCAAATCTCGACTCGACAAGAGAAAGGCGCAGCGCACCGCAGCTCAGGAAGGAATTGGCTGTTAACGAACGAGCAAAATACTCGGCAAAGGACCACTCAGCTTATGTTGATCGACAAAAGACTTCCTGGGTAAAGTCGAACAAGTCGCAATTTGACCATCTCATCCAAACAGCAAAGATGGGTGCCTTAAGAGATAAGAAGCTACGAGACGCAGCACCATCCTCGGAAGATGCGACAGATCCCCATTTGGCAGCCTCCAACAATCTCCGGCATGACAGCAGCGAGCTGGAGCCACATGTCATCACCTCAAGCCCTGCAATGCCCGAAGCACCGCCGGATGCAACAACGACGGTCGGTACCGTCGGAGCGGATGCCTGATAAGGGTTTCTTTTGATGCCCATAAGACAGGGGAAGTTCTAAAAAAAAAACTCACCCATGATCAAAGACTGAATTCATATTGAGCTCTACTTTTCCCCACAAGCTGACAATATCCATCATGCAAATGTAGATTGACAGTCTGTCTTCACTGATGTAAAGCATCAATTGTTTGCCCTCATTGTTGCAGTTTCAGTCAGCACTTGCAGCACACAGCCTCTCCTTTTCAGTGCTTGGAGTGCCTTGTCTTAAGCAACACACATAAGTTATGAGTCTTCTGTCCTATTGGTTCTTTCATTGAGTCTCAAGCATTCACATTTTTGTCACTCCATGGCCTCAATTTTGAGCACACTTTCTGGGGCAGGTTATAGTAATTTGTCAGGCCACCTGAGAGGTGTCAGGGGCCAATGTGCCTAACTCAGGGTTCCGTTTAATATTCGACAAAATTGGGGTTCCATTTAATAATCTATGAAATCTGGGGTTTTATTGTTAGGGCTAGCGTTACCAATGTGCCTAACACGGGGTTCTATTTATCTCAATGGAACCTGATCAAATCTGGGGTTTTATTGCGTTCCAAAATGAACCCGCTGGAAGTGCATTTTCTATCTGGTTTGTGCCAAGACCCGCTGGAACCTGTTAGTGCCCCACCAACCATAGTCCAAAGAGTGGGCGCTTGGCCCTCCTCCCAATGGAGCAACTGTTGTGATCAAGCCACAACTGGTCCCCTCAAGATCCCTTGCAGAGGAGCGGTTGGCCTAAGACAACCCTCCTACCGTCCAACTGCGGCTGGCCCCTCTGTAAGCTGAATATGGCTGTTGGCAACCTAACATTGTAGCGCCGCGGTGGGAGGTGGCTACCGCAGTTGGCACAGGAGGTGGTCAATAGTTCTTGGACCCTACCACCTGTCCAACATGAAGTTGCCTTTGGACCTCTGTTGCATGCTAGGGCTAGGGTTAGGGCTAGGGTTAGGGTTATAGGATTAGGGTTAGGGTTAGGTTAGGGTTAGGGTTAGGGTTAGGGTTAGGGTTAGGTTAGGGTTAGGGTTAGGGTTAGGGTTAGGGTTAGGGTTAGGGTTAGGTTAGGGTTAGGGTTAGGGTTAGGGTTAGGGTTAGGGTTAGGGT